TATTTGTGACGATATATATATATATATATATATATATATATATATATATATATATATATATATATTGTTGTAGAGGTGGGTTACTAGACGGATGGCAGTCACCCACAGTACTCGGCGTTCAGATGAACCCCTCTGAAGAGCCCACCCACCCTTCCTCTGATCTTTTTGCCCTGGCGCAACCCCAACCCCCCTGTCCTACCCTAGTGTTAACCACCCAGGACCATCACCCATTGCCATCATGGCAGGGTGACCTGACCAGACAGCGGTTGCAGGTACCGGGGCTAAGCAGAGGTGCCTACCCCCTGCTCAGCCCCGGTTGAAGCAGACGCCGTGCAAGCCTGGTTGCACGGGGACTTCGGAAGCTAGGTTTGAACATGCTACTACAGGTCTTCATGAGGGTGCACAGTGACTCCCATCTAGCTTAGTTGTATGGTGATGATAGAGAGCTGGGTATCCTCCGTTCCCTCATATGTCCCTGGAGCCCATTCCGGCCATGACACCCCCGACATCCCATACACCTCAGACTACCTACCCACCACTACACCTTTTTTTTTTTTTTTTTTTTTTATAGTCCTACGGGGAACCCCGTAGCAGACAGAACCATGTTCACGAGAGAACACGCGAAGGCTGCTCCCGACCTGCAGGTGGGCGATACTGGCCAGGGGACAGCCTGTAGCATCAGGGACCATGCCAACAGGACCAATCCCTGTGCCTCCCCTCAGGTCCCCTCCCCTACGAACGTCAGCAGACTCTGCTCAATGCCTATTGGGGGATCCAGTGGTCTATCTCTAGGTGGCAGGCGCCAAGCATGCCCCAGGAAGGTACCACTACGAAGGTACCACTTGCGAGCCTTACCAACTGAGATAGGCCGCTGGATATTGGTTGGCATTTTCGGGCGCGGCCCCTGCACAAGTTCCAGGAAATAGAGTAGAGGAACGATCGGCCTTGCTGCACTACTATCGAAATGTGCAAAACGAGAGTGAATCTTCCGCTAGAAACATGTTGAGATACGCCGCCATGATTTTGTGTTGTGTGCAGCGAGGCCCGATATCTGGAATGTTCCGGAACGAGCACATAATAGGGCCAGAAGGACACTTGCCGCCCGACGGTGAAAATTCCTGGATAATTTAATACAGGCCGTGAAGACGTAGATCTGTACGGTCCAGAATCAACGGAACTCCAACATGAAGGACTCCAGTTCGTGGCGTGCGACGGCGCGTTGAACTACAAAAGTCCTCGAAGTTCTGGAAGCGCCGATCGTTGAAACAAAAAGAAAAAAAGTTCAGAAAAAAAAAAAAAAAAGAAGCGCCGAGAAAACAAAACAAAAAAAAAGAACAAAAAGAGAAGCGCCCACCGCATGGTAGTTCTAGCAGATTCTGAAGACTTCTACCTGGCGCGCGAAATGGAGGAAATCTGGAAGGCACGGGCTGAGGCCCACTTTGTTAGATGGATTCCTCATTTTCCAATCGTAGATTACCCGAATCGACGGCCATAACGATGAAATCCGGTAAACTGGTACGTTGCCCTCGCAGTTGATTGCGAAGCTGCGAAGTTCTGGAAACATCTTTCGGCCGTTTCCCTGGCGCGCGCAGTCGTCGCTACCCAGGAAGACTGAGAGTAGTACGGTACTCTTCACCTACCTTGCCCCAGCCATGAATGTAGTGGGGGCACACAACATAAGAGCATTGGCAAGTTCGGCTCCGCAGTATTTAAACGATTGACTTGCAATGTAATTGCATTACAAGGGCATCGCAGAACTCACTACGTAGTACCATGTCATCCCCGCGGATTGTCACGTTCATCGGGTTGTTGGTGGATCTCGCACTCTCAGCGAACTGGGACGGAGCCGTGTGAAGGTATCAGGCAACTGAGGTGCAGCTCGCCTGACTACAAAACGGGCTATCACTAGCACAGGATTGTGATAGGTGCAGCGCGAGAGGGAGTCGTTACGACAACTTGGGTGGGAACTGCAGGCGGGAGCGGTCGAGAGCAGTCGAGAGCAGAGATCAGCGCCGGTACCGGATCGTGAACGAGAGGAATCGGTGCTGTCTGGCGTCCTTGTTTCTAGCTACGTAATACGAAGTGGAGGCGTGAGGAGAGCGAGCAGTGTATTGTAATAGCCTTCGGTGGCTTTTTAGCTAGTAAGCTCCAGGAGCCAAGAGGGGCTCGCTTGGTGATAGCTGATTGACGGAGAAGGAAGACGAGCGAGAGTAGATCAAACATGGCGCCCAAACAGCAGAAGAACGAGGACTCGGGACCTGCAATTGGTATAGATCTGGGGACCACGTACAGTTGTGTGGGCGTTTGGCAGCACGATCGTGTAGAAATCATTGCTAACGATCAGGGCAATCGAACTACGCCTTCGTATGTTGCCTTCACGGACACGGAGAGACTGATTGGTGAGGCAGCCAAGAACCAGTGCGCTATGAATCCCGCCAACACGGTCTTCGATGCGAAGCGGCTGATCGGTCGAAAGGTGAGCGACCCATCTGTGCAGGCAGACATGAAGCTGTGGCCTTTCAAGGTGGTGGCGGGCAGCGGGGACAAACCGATGATCAGAGTGACTCACAAGGGGGAGGCGAAGCAGTTCGCTCCCGAGGAGGTGTCCTCCATGGTGCTTACGAAGATGAAGGAAACTGCAGAGTCGTATCTAGGGAAAGAGGTGAAGAACGCTGTGATCACGGTCCCTGCGTACTTCAACGACTCGCAGCGGCAAGCGACGAAGGATGCGGGCGCGATAGCGGGATTGAACGTGCAGCGAATCATCAACGAACCAACTGCGGCAGCCATAGCCTACGGGTTGGACAAGAAGGGGAAGACAGAAGGCGAGCAACACGTCATGATCTTCGACCTCGGCGGCGGCACCTTCGATGTCTCGTTACTGACGATCGAGGACGGGATTTTTGAAGTCAAGGCGACCGCCGGAGACACTCGTCTCGGGGGAGAGGACTTCGACAACAGGCTGGTGAATCACTTGGTCCAGGAGTTCAAGAGGAAACATAAGAAGGATATTAGCGGGAATGCGCGGGCTCTGCGGAGGCTGCGCACGGCGTGCGAGCGCGCCAAGCGCACGCTGTCGACGACCGCGCAAACGACGATTGAAATAGACTCTCTCCACGAGGGCATCGACTTCTACACGACGATGACCCGCGCTCGGTTCGAAGAGTTGAACATGGACTTGTTCCGCAAGTGCATGGACCCCGTGGAGAAGACCCTTCGGGACGCGAAGATGGACAAGTCCCAGGTGACGGAGGTGGTACTCGTGGGAGGTTCCACCCGTATTCCCAAGGTCCAGCAGTTGTTGTCCGACTACTTCCACGGCAAGGAGCTGTGCAAGAGCATCAATCCTGACGAGGCAGTCGCATACGGAGCGGCGGTGCAGGCGGCCATTTTGGCGGGAGAGACGAGCGAGAAAGTGCAAGATTTGCTGCTCCTGGATGTCACCCCGCTCAGCTTGGGTATCGAGACGGCGGGGGGCGTGATGACGGTTCTCATTCCTCGTAACTCTACGATTCCGACGAAGAAGGAGCAGGTTTTCTCCACGTATGCGGACAATCAGCCGGGCGTCTTGATCCAGGTCTATGAGGGTGAGCGCGCCCGCACGCGAGATAACAACCTCCTGGGGAAATTCGAACTGTCGGGTATCCCCCCCGCGAGACGAGGTGTGCCGCAGATCACTGTGGCTTTCGACATTGACGCCAATGGCATTCTGAACGTCAGCGCAGAGGACAGGAGCACCAAGCAGAGGAGCAAGATCACCATCACGAATGACAAGGGAAGGTTGAGCAAGGAGGAGATTGAGAGAATGGTGAACGAGGCGGAGAGGTTCAAGGCGGAAGACGAGGAGGCGAGGAAGAAGGTAGAGGCGAAGAACGGGCTAGAGAACTATGTGTATAATCTGAAGAACACGGTGTTACAGGACGACAAGGTGGCTTCGAAGTTGGACTCAGCGGACAAGGCGAAGATGGAGAAAAAGGTGGAGGAGGTGATCTCCTGGCTAGATCGGAACAGCCTTGCGGAAGTGGACGAGTTCGAAGACAAGCAGAAGGAACTGGAGACTGTGTGCAATCCGATATTGTCGAAGATGTACGCCGCCGGCGGTGGCGCTGGCATGCCAGGAGGGTTTCCCATGGGCGACGCCGAGGCGGGAGCTTACGAAAAGGCCTCCGGAGGGTACACCAAACCGTCAGCAGCAGCAGGAGGGAGGGGACCTGTGATCGAGGAAGTTGACTAAGTTATTGAAAAGGAGGAGGCTTTGTTATCCTTCTTCTTTGTTGAATCACTGGAGTCTTTTGCTGTTGACTCCTTTCTTTGTTTGAATCACTCAAGTCTTTTGCTGTTTTGTTGTTGTCGAATCACTCAAGTCTTTTGCTATTTTGTTGTTGTCGAATCACTCGAGTCTTTTGCTGTTTTGTTGTTGTCGAATCTTTGGCAATTTTCGGAGATTGTTTGAAAGGATTGGAGGAGGCGGAGGAGTTGGTAGAAAGGCTTGGGTGGGTGTAAACATCCTAGTAGGCTAGTAGTATGCTTGAGGTTGTGTAGAGTGACAGAGTGAGAGAGAATTGAAAGGGGGGGGTGGATTCTTGAATTGCTTCGGAAACGCGATTGGTGCCGGGAAGTTATTGGTTTAGAAATTACCGTAGAGGTGAGGTGTTCTATTCCTCGAGAAAAGGATGTGTAGATAAGAAGCAGAGAGAGGTGGAACATTGTTTGAGTAGGGGAGGGAACCGAAGAAAATAGGGGTAGCAAGGTGGGGTTGACGTCAACAACTATTTACTGTTGATGTCGAACTCTACCAACCGTAGAAAGGTGGGGTTGACGTCAACAATTTACTGTTGAGGTCGAACTCTACCAACGGTGCGACGGTTAGATGAACATGATCATGTGAATCTGTGACTATTGAGTTCGTTGATTGATGACAGTGTGTACTCGTCTCTCCCTGAGAAGGGCGGGAACTGTTGCGGGTATGAGGATACTTGTGACGCAGAGTTTAAGGGAGAAGCGCCTGGAAATCGTGGCGTCGTCAAAGAGAGAAGAGCGGAAGTGAAGAGGGGTTATTGTCTAGGTGGAGGGGATGGAGAGGGGCAGAAGGCGACTCACCTCAGTTCGTCGGCTATCGGAGAAGTGCGATCAGGTGCAAATCTTTTTTTTTTTAATTGGAAGTTGCAACATGGTTTGACATTTGGCCTCGCCGCCCTACTCTCCAAATGTGCAAAATGAGAACGAAATCTTCTCTGCACCATCATGGCTGCTGTTACACCGCCATGTTTTTTGTTTGACATTTGGCCTCGCGCCCTACTCTCCAAATGTGCAAAATGAGAATGAAATCTTCTCTGCACCTCATGGCTGCTGTTACACCGCCATGTTTTTTGTCTTGTGCAAGCGGAGAGTAGTACAGCGAGGCCCATTGGCAAGCAATAAATTCTGCTTCACAGTTATATTTGCTGGTTGGTTCTGTACAAACCGAGTCTTTTTGAATGTCTAATCACCTCGTATAATGTGGAAACTCGCTTTTGATTTATACACACGCTAGGCTAATCGAATTCCTAACTCGTTAAGTGCAAAGCAGTTAATACATTGATTTCTGTACGGACTCTTTTCCGCTGTATTCTGTGCGGACTCCTTTCAGCTGTACATTGTGCTTCATTACTAAATGCCGCACCCGCCAATAGCCAAGCAGGAAATGGTGTGTTCTGCCGAAATGAAAATGGATTATGATTCAGTCCGTGTGGCTGAATTGTACACATGTGATCCGTAATAAACATGTATTGAGTTCGAAGTTAACCCTCTTATGGATGAATCAGATGGATATGCAATAGTGTTAGTCGCCCTTCTGAAAAGAGAGGATAGCCTTCGATCCTCGGCACCTGAGTCCCCTTTTCACTCTCCCCTACTGAAAGCAATTTGCTCATAATCGATTTTATTTTCTTTCCCCCCNACCTGAGTCCCCTTTTCACTCTCCCCTACTGAAAGCAATTTGCTCATAATCGATTTTATTTTCTTTCCCCCCTTCTCTCAACTGTGTTGCGAGTACTGAGTGATGGAATAAACACAATACGGGAAGTGTGGAGGGTTGTTTGGCACTGCTGCGGAGTGTGGTGCTGCAGTAAAAACGAGGAGGAAAGAAAAGGACTTGATGGGGTGCGTTGTGCACGGGGGAAGATTGCAGGCGAGAGTTTGTTTCTGTGGTTACCGTAATATGCCCAATTCTTACACGGCTACTGAATCCAGCGGCCGAGCTAACTGATTAGACACGCAAGTGGCACTGAGGTGATTGTGGGTTCGAACCCTCTGATTGCAGCGGCCGAGCTAACTGATTAAACACGCGAAGTGGCATTGAGGAGGGTGTGGGTTCGAACCCCATGATTGCAGCGGCCGAACTAACTGATTAGACACGCAAAGTGGCTACAATTGAAACCGGATGCATGGCCTGCCAATGCTGCGATGCTCAGTAGACTCCTGCACCTTTCAAAGAGAGAGCGGGCAAGGTTGTGGGTTTTAACTCCATTATTGCAGCGGCCGAGCTACATGATTAGACACGCACAGTGGCACTGTGGAGGTTGTGGTTGTGGGTTGGAATCGCATGATTGCCTGTCGCCTGCATTACGGACGTTGTGGGTTCGAACCGCATGAGTCCCTGATGCCCGCCGGTGGCGTAACTCAGTGAGAACCAGTTGCGATAGTGTGAGAGTACGTGTGAGCTGTGTGTGCTGTGTGGAAGTGTTGTGGCCTTAGACACTGCTGTTACTCGATGTGTGGTGTGGGAGAGTGTTGGCCTTAGACACTGCTATTTACTCGATGGGGGAAGATGAAAAGGGAGCTGCAAATACTGGCATATGCTCGGTCCATTCGCTAGCCTGGCCCCCACGGGCGATCCCAACCCTGCACCCTAAATCACTAGGTAGACATGCAATTACCTCCCTGCAGAGAGAGAGGTAACCTCCCAGGAGACGCGTGCAGGGTCCCCCTGTAGCCTGTAGGTAGGTCGTGAAAGATGAAAGAATTTGAGAGACTATAGCGTGACTTACGTACTGTCGACAGTTGCGGTCTTTGGGTTGGCCTAAACTTGTCAATTAGTCAACCACAAACTCCCTACCAATAGATGGAGCAATCAGAAAGGCTGGTAGGTGGGGCTGCTTCGTTTCTTTTTCTTAATTAAAAAAAATACTCGTATTGAAGAAAAAAAAGTGAGTAATTTCTCTCTTGTTATTTCTTTTTTTTTTGTTTGTTTTTTATATCTGACAAGAATAGCTGTGTACTCTGTCTATTGTTATCTCTGGGTTTCTCTGTCAGGATGGAGGGTTTCTCTATTGGTGGGGAGCGGCACCTGCTGGAAACTGGGTCCAGCGTCCCGTTAATACATCTTATCACTCAAAGATTGGTGTTTGTTATTTTCCTGGGGCTGTGGGCTTTTCTCTTCTCAAGCCTGGGCCTCTGTCATCCCATGGAGCTAGTGCCCTTCCCCTCTTAGAGCACCCTTTATCTATTAGCCCAGCCCTGTTCAGCAGCCCCTCAATAGTAATTCGCACTCAAAAAGACCATAGTCCAAGTGGATGATATGAAAGGACATGTTGAGTTGTCAAAATGGTGAAGTTGAGACAAGGTCGTGTTCACCCAAATTATGCAGTTTGACCCTCTAGAAGTGAAGAATCCGGGTCAGTGGGGCCTGTGTTAGAATTTTGGGAGACCGATTTGAACAGCCGATAGAGGTATATGGACGAACGGGCTGACCGCAGCGCTTACCCGTGTATCCCCCGCAACCCCGCGGTCACGGCCGCGCGGTAGTAGACATTGGGGCTGCCGTGGTGGCCGGAGGGGAGGTGGGGGTGGTGGATTGGGGTTGTGAACTCCGACCCCGCCCCCAATCAGTAAAAAAAAAAAACGAATTTGGTAAAAAAACAACTAAACAAATAATACAAAACTTGATTGATTGATTGATTGATTGATTGGTGGGGAGGGGTCGCACCACCTCCTTACCCTCACACACACACATGCATTTTTTTTTTTTCGGTTCATTAATTTATTGATTGATTGGTGGGGGATGGATTGCCCCTGTCCCCCCCCCCCACACACTGATTGATTGACTGATTGGCCGCGCACACACACACACACACACACACACATTGATTGATTGATTGATTGATTGATTGGTGGGGGATGGGTCGCCCTGACGCTTTTTTTGAGTGTATAGAGAATATGACAACACACATTGGTTGA